ATTTATTTATTTATTTATTTATTTTCCTTTAAATTTTTATTTTGTCAATATACAATGTGGTTGATTATTATGGCCCATCACCGAAACCTCCCTCCCTCCTCCCTCTCCCCCCCCCCCCCCCCCGGTTTTTGTGTGTGTGTGTGTGTGTGAGTGAATTTATTTATTTATTTTTAGCTCCCACCAATAAGTGAGAACATGTGGTATTTCTTTTTCTCTGCCTGACTCGTTTCATTTAATATTATTCTCTCAAGGTCCATCCATGTTGTTTTGTTTGCTTTTTAAATCGAAACATAATCGATATACATATTTGTGGGGTACAGAGTTGACTACCAGTATTTGTGTACAGTATGTGATGATCAAATCAGGATAGTTGGCATATTCAACATTACAAAACATACTTATTCTCTGTGTCCATTAACCAATTTCTCCCTAAACCCCCTCCCCTTCCTTGCTTCCCCCCATCTATTAACTACAGGAGGAGGAGGGGATTTGAAAATGAAAGGAGGCTGTATGCGATCACCTTCAAGATTCCTTCCATCTGGAGGGTCTGTTCTAACTACAGCTTCTTCCAGAAACAACACAAATTTTAAGGCAGATAGACTGAAAGTTGTGGTTAGAACAACTGCTTGGTTCTGCATTGCTCTGAGAAGTTTCATGATCATTGGAAGAGCTCAGTACCCACTTGGACATCATACACAATAGTTCAGTCATGGTTTTAAGAGATGCTGAGCATCTCAGACCTAATAGGAGTAGACAGAGCTCATGAACAAAGCCATTCCTGCCCAGCAGATGTTCTCTCAAATCACTGCAGCTTTTCCACCCTCCTCATTTGGACAAAGGGATTTTAAAGACTATAATTTAATGCTTTTTTTTGATTCCTCTTTCAGTTGAATTGATTTTAATACTATTTTGTTATAGACTCATTGCAAGTTACCTTTATTATTGATGGGTGGAGGGAGAAGAGAGGGTTTAACTCTGGAGAAAACCAATAAATGGGGCATTTAACTACCCTTTACAGAGGTAATCAAAGTACAAGGATATTTTAGGAAAAAAGCAAACACCCAATATGTAATACCTTTAAATATTTGTTTCTCTAATTACAGTTAACTGCTGAACTGTTCATTGGTTCTAATTATTATATCAGTTGGGAATGTTAAAAAATTTGCCCCAGACTATAAACAGTCACCTTTTAATTCAGGAGGACATTTTGAGGTAAAATGCTAAACAAAAGTGACTTATAAAAATATTTCATAAGCCCAAGCGAGAACTAGTTTCCCCTTTTGTTTCCCAGAGAAAATGCCTGGCTGTCTTGGTTATGAAAGCAGCACACACTCTATATCATGCAGTTACATTTTTATTCTAATGGGCAGCCTGCAGAGTGGGCAAGGGTTGAATGGAACATTGCTTCTCCCGACAGCCAACTATGAATTATGCAGCCAAAATTCAGCTAATCAAAGCCTGTTGTGTGTGTCATTGTGTAGCAGCCCTTTGCAAATTGGGTTAATAATTTTGAGAATCGAATCCCATGCCGCAACCCCAAAGTAAAGAAGCTGTGTTGGTGAGAGGGCTTTGTGAAGTGCCAGGGCCATTTGTACTTATATCTTTCTTTCTTCTGGGCAGGGACTTCTAATTGGGGTCCATAATTGCATCAGAGGGTCTATGAACTGGGATAGGAAAGTACATGATGGCTTTATTTTTTATTCACTTCTAACTTAAATTTAACATCCAAAAAACTACAGGTAGGCAACAATACCTGTGGCTTTGTCACCCATAGAAATCACAGATATCTTGGAATGTTGTTTACCCTTTACTGCTTCAAAGTTACAATAGATATTAGACCATCTGTTAAGTCTTACTTAATGTGTTAATAAGGAAGCACATACAAATTTGTTTTTTTTAATATTTTGATAACTGTATATCAATATAATCCATTTCCTTTGTGACCCTATGTGTATTATTTCATGCATTTAAAAATATTATTCTCCATGAAAAGCATGGAAAGACTGAGAAACTATCACAAAACCAGGGGACCAGAGAGACATGACAGCTAAATGCAGTGGGTACCCTGGATTGGATCTTGGAACAGAAACAGGACAATAATGGAAAACCTGGTAAAATCCAAATAAAGTCTGGAGTTTAGTTTACAGTAATGTGCTAATGTTGGTTTCTTGGTCTTGACAGATGTATGGGAATGCTCTGTTGTCTTTGCAACTTATCTGTACATCTGAAATTACAGTGAGGGCCATGGCATGGGGTCTGCCACCCACTCCTGGAGGTGTTTTAGGGTGAGGGTTTTATGTCAACTTAAGACCCTCGTGGCCTCTTTCAGTTACAACCCTGAGGAACTCTGGAGATATTTTCCAGAGAAGTAAAGTAATTTAGAGTGTATTGAGATGGAAAAGGTATGACTCTGGGGTCAGAGAGGTCAGGGGTTATATTGTGACTTTGTCACTTATCAGCTCTGTGATCTGGGGGCAGAAACTGCTCTGGGCATTCTCTTCCCCTCTGCAGGATGGAGCCATCCATACGGGACTTGCCAGGGTGGTTGTGAGGACTAAAGTAAACGTGCCCTCCTAGGTAGCCCTTTCGTCGGTTTTACCTGGTGTGTTTTAGTGTCTTACATGCCAAGCACCATGCTAAGCAGTTTTCATAAATTATCTAGTTTCATCTTCATGACACCTGTCTTACATGACCATTTCATTAGTAGGGAAACTGAGGGTCAGAGGTTTGGTGACCTCACTGCCCAAGGCCACAAAGCTGAACTTAAATTCAGATCTGCATTGACTGCAGTTCATGGTGTTCTTAAGCTTCCTCCTGAGGCTAAGCCTTCTCTGGTCACCTGGTGGACCTGGTAACCAGGCTGCTCTTCGCTCTCACCCTCATTTGGTTTGTGCATGTGTCCAGATCCGGGTGCTCCCCTCGTGATTCTGCTGCCCATTGTGGTGGGCTTCTCTGGACCTCAGATCATGCAACTGTAAAATGAGGGTGTTGGACTGTCCTCAAGGTCTGTTCCGCATTCTGTGAATTTTAACTGCTTATTTTGGCTGTTTTATTGGGATGATTACTGTATCACTGAAGCCAGAATTTTTCTAATTTGTTTTGGGTGACGTTATGTGTTTCTTCAGCATTTTCCCAGATTCCAGAGAAAGAGAAAACAGCAGAACTCTAAAGCCTTAGTTGCCTCTTAAAACCACAATTAAAAAAAAAGAAAGAAAAAGAAAAGGCCATTGTGATATTAAGATTTCTTAATTGGACTTTATTCAGAGATTACTCTCAAGGACATGGGAGTAATATTATTTTTTCTTTCCTTCTGTGATTAGAAAGGAGACACCATGTATTACCATGTACCAGGTACTTCAGATTAATGCCTATTGAAAAAAATAAAAAAGGTTGTTAGCAGTGTTACGTGTTTACCTGGACAGGTGAATTTAGTCATAAAAAGTAGTTATTAGGTGATGAGCTCGATTTCCACAAGCGACGTGGCAAGTACATTTTTTTAAAAAATGAGAAAAAATGAGAGCAGCACTTAGCACAGTTAAGTTACTTCCCTGGGGCATCTGTTAACCCCATGATTTGCTCTGTTTTTCAGTTTTTCCCTTACATCCTGTTACTATTCGCAATCCTGTTGTACCTGCCCCACCTGTTTTGGCGTTTTGCAGCTGCTCCTCATCTTTGCTCAGACTTGAAGTTTATCATGGAAGAACTTGACAAAGTTTACAACCGTGCAATCAAGGCTGCAAAGAGCGCGCGTGACCTTGACCTGAGAGATGGTGCCTGCTCAGTTCCGGGTGTTAATGAGAACGTAGGGCAAAGGTAACTTAGCCCCAGCAGGTAGCTCTTCAGGGTTTGTAGTACGAGTCTGGGCCTAGAGTTCCCACTGCTAGTAAACTGGGGGTGGGGGTTGAGGAGACATCCACCTAGTGACAGTCTGTAGGAGTCTGGGACGCCCACTCTCCCCAATTCTCATCCCCACCATCTGTCCCAGCACCTGTCCTTCTATCAAGACTCACTCCTTCCCTTGCTGGATGCTACATGACCATTTCATCTAAATAAAGTTCTTGTAGGCGTAACAGGTTAAGGTACTACGGTGAAGCTTGCTTGCTTTAACCTGCTCCTTAAAGGAGAAGCTCAGAGGATTTCAAGGCAACTGAGCCTACAGAAAGGATATGAGAGAACCACGGCACAGTAAGTTGTGCCTTGCCTTTCACATTGTTCTCTGCTTGTTGTTACTGATAGTGGGAATAATAATATTCATAGCGATCTTTTTTGAATACTTTATACATCACAGACACCGTGTTGAGTTCTTTAAGTACATTATCTCCTTTAACCCTCACAACATTATCAACTAAGTGCACTTATTTTCTATATAAAAACACTTCCATAGCTCTAAGTGTGAGAGCGGTGACCTGAACCGTGTCTGTCTGGCCCCACAGTCTTGCCCATGACCCCAGAGCTGCCCCCACCCCTCACCTGCAGGAGGCATATATGTTGCAGTTAGACTGAAAAATTCTTGACCTTCTTCTGTGCACTTTAGGGGGAAATTGTAATTTTATAAAAAAGCAGCAGAAAGGAACTGTTAAATTTATTTAGCAAACATTTAGTATTTATTAGGTGCCAGGCATTCTAAGAATTTCCAAATATTAGCTTATTTAATTAACTAGACCTTCTTTAAAATATTCAGGGGAAAATGTTTTATTATTGCTTTTCCTCTTTCTCTCTCTCTCTCTTTTTTTTTTAACCAGATTTTATTCCCTAATACTTGAATGAAATTAGAGGTAGAGGAATGTGGATGTTTGAAATTTTTAGTGTAATATTGTGGAATGTGTTTATATCTTTAATATTTGATGGTCTTGGTGAGGGTCTAAATTATTTTTGTTTTCTTTTTTCTTTTTAGTTTGTGGGAGATATCTGAAAGCCACTTTAAGTACCCAATTGTGGAGCAGTATTTGAAGACAAAAAAAATCTCTAATAATTTAATTGTCAAGTACATTAGCTGCCGGCTTCTAATTCTCACGATTCTCCTGTTGGCATGTGTCTACCTGGGCTATTACTTCAGCCTCTCTTCACTCTCAGACGAGTTTGTCTGCAGCATCAAATCAGGGATCCTGAAAAACGAGAGCACCATTCCTGATCAGTTTCAGTGCAAACTCATTGCAGTCGGAATTTTCCAGTTGCTCAGCTTCATTAACCTCGTGGTTTATGTCCTGCTGGTCCCTGTGGTTATCTACACACTGTTTGTCCCATCCCGACAGAAGACAGATGTTCTCCAAGTCTATGAAATCCTGCCCACTTTTGATGTTCTGCATTTCAAGTCGGAAGAGTACAATGACTTGAGCCTCTACAATCTTTTCTTGGAGGAGAATATAAGTGAACTCAAGTCATACAAGTGTCTTAAGGTACTGGAGAATATTAAAAGCAGTGGCCAGGGGATTGACCCAATGCTACTCCTGACTAACCTTGGCATGATCAAGATGGATATTGTTGATGGCAAAACTCCCATGTCTGCAGAGAAGATGGGAGCAGAGCAGGGGAGCCGGATGACAGAGCTCAAAGGTAGGGTCAGCTCTCAGGACAGAGGCTGCGGGAGCCCACAGAGTGGCTTTTTAGCAGTCTGCTATGAATATTGACAATCTTATTTACCTTGCCCATCATTTAAACCATTTTCCTAGCATGGTCTTTGGTGGAATCCCTCAGGACTAGGAGAGACAGGGAAAGAATTGGTGCTGCCCCAAATTGCCAAAGAAGGAAAACTTCTGTGCTGTCTCTGGTTATTCTCTCTTCCTTCTCTCTCTCTGTTTCATCCTCTGTCTCTTGCTCCAGCTCCTCCTTGTCTTTCTTAATTATTTTTTATCTTGTCTGACTAGTTTCTCCCTCTGTACCTCTGATCCTCTTGCCTATTGTTCTCTGACTTTCTCTTTTAAAAAACACTGAAAGTTTGTTCATCTAGTTGTCTTCACCTAACTTCACTGTGCTTTAAAATTAGGCTAAGATATAAAACATGGTAAAGCAAAAAATATGAGGTAGACTTTTAGCAAAAGAGAAGTTGATTTGTACTGATTTTTCCTGCTGTACTTCTGTCATAAATATTTGTTTTCAATTTTGGCAGATTTGAATGTACCCAGTGAAACTAAAGCAAATAACGGGGAGAAGAATGCTCGACAGAGACTTCTGGATCCTTCTTGTTGATGGATCCTTTTTTCTTGAACATCGGATCTGTGACTTCTGTGATGTGGGATTCATTCTGGCTAAAGCATCCCTGTTGGGTTCACAGCTGGTTTGCAGTAAATGGTTCTTGGTAGAGATATTGAGCCTCTCTTATTGAGTCCCTAATGAAAATGATGGTCAATAAAATGTTATGGAAGAATGGTTTATGAACTTCCTACAAGAAGCAACGTGGAGATAAGTAAACTGCAGCAAGTATATATATGCAGGTCCTCATCGTGTGAAAAGTAGAAAGATTGGTAAGAGTAGTCAAGAGTTGTAGCCCTTCTAAAGAACCTCGGAGAAACACTTTGCTGTACCCATCATGCGACGAGACCTAGAGCTACTGGAAAGCAAGCACTTTGGGATATTTTTTTTGTTTTGTGAAATAATAATAAACATGCCAGGATGTAATTTAATATGAACCTCTTCTGTGCCCTTCATGACTGTTGGATGAGAAAAACATTCTCTGTCTAGCCGTGGACCCATAGGTGGACCTGTTCTTGGCAGTGTCCTAAATTGGGTGTAAATCTGGTGCCTTGGCTCTTGTACACTAATGCTATCTTTACAGTGTTACTTGCCAACCTTGGCTGATTGAAATCCTCTAACCACTATGTGTTGCACTGTGCTCAAGGGCAGCAGGCCCAAGCCATGCTCTGACAGAAAACTCAATTAACGAGTTAGAATGTAAAGGATAGTAGGTTTAGACCAGGGTGACTTCAGGAGAGAATGCTTCAAAAGAACCCAGTGGGGAAATCTGAACTCACAGAGCTTAATTCAGTCACTCTAAAAGAGGTTGTCTACAGGGTGTTCCTGTTATCAAAGGCACTTGAAACAGGATTTTTACTTATACAAATTAACAGAACAGAGGAATGTTTAAAGTGAGGGACACATTGCCTAAAATGATCAGAGTGCATAAATGACATTTACCATATGATGAACTTGGAGCCAGAACAACTTAGCGTTTATTTTGTTTATATTTAATCATATCTACTAAAAATTCATTTTCATTTATACAGTGTCAGAATCAAGACTTTTAGGGAGGAACATTCTAAAATTGGCGAATTATAGAATAAATATTACAAATGTATGGATAAGACAAACGCAAGCATTTTCTCATTAACATTTAAGGCTGGCCCAGAGTGTATTAGAAACCATTCTCCGTTCTGATGATGTAAATAGATCCTGTGTTCACATTTTGTACAAAAAATCTTTAGCATCTGTGGATCTCCCCATTTTTATTAGCAGATAGTTAATACACTGAGTAATCCTTAGGAACCTCAATGTTTACTTTTGGCTTTTAGGGACTCTTGTTTACTTAATCTAATTACTATTTTGTGAAGAACAAGTTCTATAAGCTGTTTTCTTCCTTTCAGAATATTCAGAAAAGCAGATTTTATTTGTGCTTCTATGATAATGTCTGAGATAGAAAGCTAATGATAAATATCAAGGATGCAATCAGTGTTTTAAATTATTCTCTATTGCATGATATTTATCACTGCTGAATTATAGTATGACTTAGAAATGGCAGTCACCTAAATAATTGATTTTGCTACATTTTTACTTCACAGTGTCTGAGATATTTCATCACAATTCTCTACACTGGTTTCTTTTGAAGATTTGAAAAGATTTTTGAAATATTTTTTAGGATTTTTTTTTTTAAAAACTTCATCTTGGGCCGGCCCGGTGGCGCACTGCTACAGTGCGCCACTTGGGAAGCGCGGCAGCGCTCCCGCCAAGGGTTCGGATCCCACGTACAGACCGGCCGCTCACTGGCTGAGCGAGATGCGGGAGCAACACCGAGGGTTGCGATCCCGTTGCCGGTCCCGGTCCGGTACGGGCGTGACACTGAGGGTTGCGATCCATTGCTGGTCACAAAAAAAGACAAAAAGGGAAAAAAAAAAAACTTCATCTTCTCTATAGACTACTGACTTAGTCTCTTTTCTCTCACTACCACTGAATTCCTGAGACTTGATAATCTATAAAGAAAATAAATTTACTTTTACAGTGCTGGAGGCTGGGATGTCCAAGATTGAGGGGTTGCATCTGGTGAGGGCCTTCTTGCTGGTAGGGACTTGGCAGAGTCCTGAGGCAGTGCAGGGCATCACATGGCAAAGGGGCTCACAAGAGTTGTACAAACTGGTCTTTTGTAACAGACCCACTCTTGTGATAACCCATTAATCCATTAATTCATAAATTCTCCAGGCCCTACTACATTTAATCCTTTTTTTAGAGTTAGTGTAATTGGTGTCCTTGGCTTCTGTTTTGGTTCATTTTCCCATTCCCACTCTCTAAGCTCCAGTAGGGTCTGTGATGTCCCAGGTATTGTTCCAGGCACTGGCCATGCGGATATGAATAGGCAGGTCCAATCTTTGAGGAGTTTAGAATCTCGTACAAGGCGGCAGAGAGAGAGGCAAGTACTAAGAGGTAAAAGAGTAGCTCAATAATAGGCCCTGCCGGAAAACTAGTAAATCCTGTATGTTCTTGTGGGATGCCATGGCACTTTTTCTCTCTCCCATAATTTCCATAGCTGATGATTTTGAGAGTCTAATTATAATTTTTCCCAGCGGTAGATGACCCTCTTAAGGCATTTTAGCCACAAATTCTCTATGTTGAAGTTTGGGCAAAACAGTAACATGGACAGTGATTTTGAACAGTAAGGGTTGCAATTGCCTTTTGTACCCTACCTCGTATGGGTAAGGAGAACAAGCCTGTGGGCTGGGTGCATGAGGTTGCTAACGAATACCAGTTGTGGCTCTAAAAGGTTGATATGGATGCCTAGTGATATATTTTGGCTTGGAAAAAAGTATTATTAGGAAAATTAACTCATCTGCCCACTGTGAGTTGTTGACTTGGAGGACTACTTTTGAGGAGCCAATTTCCTGAGGGTGAGGAGGAAATGCTTTCATAAAGCACTTACTACTTTGTAAAAGGGGACAACCAGATCCTAAATGACCGCTCCAGGGTTACTGACTTTGTATCTGTGTTATGTCTTCCTAGTAAACCATTGTAAGGCTGCTGAGCCAGCCTGGTAACAACAGTGTTGCAGCTGGGGATGGCACAGATCATTCTGAAGGTTCACCAAGGGACAAGCAGAGACCTCCAGTGTGGAGGTTCTCAAAATTCGGGGGGTTACAAACCCCTTTGCAGATATATTTTAAAGCTATGGACCCATCCTCGGATGTACACGTAACGTTGTGAATGCATCTTCAGAGGTCGTCATAGTCGGTGCATCTGAGGTTAAAAAGCTATGCTCCAGCAGAGGAAGAGCAAGCCACATCATCGAGAATGGGGCTCCCTTTGCTCTTGAAAAAACTGCTTCTGCCAACAAGAGTCAGCTGTATGCTTAATTAAGTCATGTTTGTGTCCTTTTGAGTGAACTGCACCTTTTGAGTAACCGCCTTTGTTTTCTAGAGTCAGACTGCACTAGGTCAATTAAAGAGTAAGTGGGCAGCAGTGGGCCTGGAGTGACCAGGCAGTCCACCTTGGCCACAAGGCGTTATCTTCTTCAGATTCAATTAATTGTCCTTGCTCAGCCTCACTGGAATGTGGGGAGGATGAGCATAACACTTAAAAAAATGCTTTGTCCTACTCTATAGTTGTACTGTGAGAAAGTTGGAAACTTCCAACTGTATGGTGGGTCTGGTTTGCATGTTTATGTGTCTTTTGTGAAAACTACCTGTTTATCTGCGTTCCTCTCCTATCCGAGAGTGAGCTCAGGTGGGGTGGCAGGCCACTGTGGTCTGGGAGATTTAGTTCAGCTGTAAGAGGAGGATTGTTATACTCCTTTATAAGGGTGCTCATGTTTTGTTTATTTGGCTTATTGTCCATCTAGGGTAAACAGAAGATTCATGAGGATGGGAGTTTTTATCCACTGCAGTAGTGCAGGCTCCTAAAACAGTGACTGGTGTGTACTAGGCATTGTGTAAATATTTGTTGAATGAATGAACAAACTGTTAGGATAAATCCTAGTTTGTTGTCAAGTGGTGATTGAATATTAAAAGGCAAATGGTCCTCTGCAGGAGAGGGGGAGAGGAGGCCCATCTAGCCTTAGTAGAGACAGGAATGTTTCTGCAAATGACTATGTTTCGACATTAAGTAGTGACAGTCTGTAGCTTTTTATTGTGGAGTGAGTTGGGACCACTTTCCAAGTTCATTACAAGTTCAACATTGCCTCTCACTGATTAAGGAAATTGAAGTTTTAAAGGGCTTGGTCACGGTAATTCCCCAGAATAAACCTCTTGAAAGGGGTTGTTTATTGAAATGTGCAATTACCAGTAATTGAGGTTTTATCTGAGGACATTGAGATAAAATGGCTCCCTTTCGGCAATCGTTGGCATTTTGGCCCTGTTTTTCACAAGTAAAGTAAAACCTTTTAAAAAGATTGACAAAGATGATGTTGTGTCATTTGTGGAATATAATAGATGTTAATTAATGGTTGGTTTTTCTGCCTGCTTTAAATGAAATGTATTGTTTCTGGATTCTCCTTTTAGCTGTAGAAATACTTTGTCACTAAAGCATGTGGTGTGATCAGTGATTGTTCTTCAAGTTCCTGAAAGTTACAGAAGTTTCTAATGCTTCCAGTGCTTTTTTCCCTGCCCACCAGAGGAGAAAAATCCTTGTAGAATTCTAGTGTTCCAAGTGTTACTCACAAAAATTGAAACCGTCAGCTCCTCTTTAAACAAGTTGGCTTTTTAAAAGCACCATAATTACAATTTAATGGTATTCTGTGAAGTGGTGCTCTAGGCGTAATTTCAGTTCTGTTTAATGAGTAAATTTCTTCACAACTTTAAAAGAAAAATATGTGTGGTCTTTTTGCTCTGTCACTTGGTAAGAATGCTACTAACAGAAGAATGACTTTAAAAATTAAGACCATCTTGGTTTCTATTCCACAAAGATCCCAAGATGAGAACAAATCATGGTGCTAGAAAATGGTCCTTAAAAAGACACAAGAAACCTGAAAGCTCTGCATTTTGCTGGTTATCACTATTCTACATCATAGTTCCACGTAAGTCACTTGGCCAAGCTCTTCATCTGGTCATGCTAACTTCCATTTAAAGAGGGGTGGAAAGCCGAAAGTCAAGGCTGCTGTGTCTGTAGATAAAGGTGAAACAGTGTTTTAGATTTGCACTGTTTTGTCCAGCTAAATAAAACTTCTCTGAGTGATGAAAAATGTCTTAATATTTCTTGCCTTCCTGTTAGCGAGAACCATTTCTTGGAAGATGTAACAGGAGATGAGTCTTGAAATGTCTTGAGGCTCATTCCTCTCTGGTGGATATATAAAATTCAGTGGGCTCCCTGGTACTTGCTAAAATCCAGCTGGCAGTAACTAACGGAAGAAAGTCCTTGATTAAGGGCCCACAGATTCTGGAATTTCTAAGGCAGAAATCACATGCTTTTTGATTGAGGATTGTTTGCCTAGGCTTGGTAAAGAAATAGTAAGTAAACTTGGTTTGGCCTGCCCACCTTTTTTAAGAGGACTCCTTTGTACAGTGGTAAAGTAATGCAATTTACTATTATGGACAATAAATCAGAACCATGCAAAATCTTATTGTAGAGCCTGGCATATACTAAATACTCCATAAATGCTAGATTTGACTATCATCAATGCTTCTGTTCCCCAAAGTGGCACCCCCAGGAGCCTTGGATTTTGTATTAGTTTTCTGTTGCTCCATAACAAATTACCATAAACTTAGCAGCTGAAAGCAACACACATTTATGATCTGGCAGTTTTCTGGGCCAGAAGTCTATACACAGCTTAGCTGGGTTCTCTGCTCAGGGTCTCACAAGACTGCAGTAAAGATGTGGACAGGCTACTTTCTCATCTGGAAGCTCATGGGGAAGGAGCTGCTTCCAAATTCCCTCAGATTTTTAGCAGAATTCATTTTGATTAAATGAGAATCAACTGAGTTGGGACCTTAATTATATCTGCAAAATCCCTGCCCCTTTGCCATCTTCCGTTGGCTAGAAGCAAGTCCCAGGTCCTGCCCACACTCAGAAGGAGGGGATTATGTGGGGCACAAGCATCAGAAGAATCACAGCGTCACCTTAGGCTCTGTCATGGAAGTTATCCTGAATCCCAGCCTGCCTATCTTGCAG